CTGTTTGTAGAGGTCCCACCTACCCCAGAATGAGCCCCAATTATCCAGGTATCTGAATCCCTCCCTCCTGCACCATCACTGTAGCCACGTGTTCAACTGCTCTCTCTCCCTATTCTTCGACTCGCTAGCACTTGGCACGGGTAACAAACCAGAGATAACAACTCTGTTTGTTCTAGGTCTAAGCTTCCACCCTAGCTCCTTGAATTTCTGCCTTACAACCCCATCCCTTTTCCTGCCTATGTGGACCACGACTTGGGGCTGCTCCCTCTCCCCCTTAAGGATCCCGAAAACACGATCCGAGACATCACGGACCCAGGCACCTGAGAGGCAACACACCAACCGCGAGTCTCTCTCGTTCCCACAGAATCTCCTATCTGACCCCCTAACTATGGAGTCCCCAATGACTAATGCTCTCCTCCTCTCCCCCCTTCCCTTCCGAGCAACAGGGACAGACTCTGTGCCAGAGACCTGTACCCCATGGCTTACCCCGGTAAGTCGTCGCCCCCAACAGTATCCAAAACGGGATACTTGTTATTGAGGGGAATGGCCACAGGGGATCCCTGCACTGTCTGCCTGTTCCCTTTCCGTCCCCTGACTGTAACCCATCTACTTTTTTCCTGTATCTGAGGTGTGACTACCTCCCTGTAACTCCTCTCAATTACCCCCTCAGTCTCCCGAATGATCCGAAGTTCATCCAGCTCCAGCTCCAGTTCCCTAACACGGTTTCCGAGGAGCTGGAGTTGGGTGCTCTTCCCGCAGATGAAGTCAGTGGGGACACTAGTGGTGACCCTTACCTCCCACATTCTACAGGAGGAGCATACAACTGCCCTAACATCCATTCCCACTGTTCTGAATTCCCAAACAGACAAATTAAAAAAAAATACTAGTAGCCTTACCAAATCAGCGCTCAGAACCTTTTTTGGTTAGAGGAGGAGGATGGGTGGGAGACACTACCTGGGTAGTGTTTCGGGTAAAGCAACCACCCAAATATATTACCTCACTTAGTCCAAAAATGGAGTCACGCGAGGTAAGACTTTTATAATCGAAAAGCTCACCTTCCCAGGCTGCCCTCGCGCTTCCTCCTGGACTCCCGCCGCTGAAACAACTGAAAGGCCGCAGTCACGCGAGGTA